AGAACATTAGTCCTTTTCCTGGTGATGACTTTAGATAGCGAAGAATTCTAACTACGGCACCCATATGATCTTCACTCGGATTATGCATAAATTGGCTTACCACACCTACAGCGTAAGCAATGTTTGGACAAGTGTGAGATAAGTATATGAGCTTTCCCACTAGTCTTTGATACCTCACCTTATCAGAAAGCACTTGATCCGAATATTCTCCAAGCCTATGGTTCTGCACAATCGACGTATCCACAGGTTTACACTCTAGTAATCCCACTTCCGTCAATAAGTCTAGTACATATTTCCGTTGAGAGAGAAATATGCCTTTTCTTGACCTCGCCACCTCTATTCCCAGAAAATACTTCAGCCCTCCCAAGTTCTTCATTTCAAATTCAGTAGACAACTGTTCTTGTAGCCTCGAGATCTCATCGGTGTCATCCCCAGTAATTATCATAGCATCCACATAGACTATTAATGCTGTCACCTTGCTTTGTCGAAGTTTTAGAAAGAGAGTATGGTCAGAGTTACTTTGGCAATAGCCATACTTCCTCATAGGTGAACTAAATTGGCCAAACCATGCTCGCGGTGACTGTTTTAGTCCATATAAAGCCCTCTCCAATTTACACACAATTTTGGTTCCAGGCAAACCTGTGTATCCTGGCGAAATATCCATGTATACCTCCTCATCAAGGTTTCCGTGAAAGAAAGCAATCTTCACGTCGCGTTGATGTAATGGCCAGTCCAAATTTGCTGCAAGAGATAGCAAGACTCTAACGGTATTTAGTTTAGCTACTGGTGAGAAGGTTTCTGAGTAGTCTATGCCATACGTTTGGGTAAAACCCTTTGCCACAAGTCTCGCCTTGTATCGGTCAATTGATCCACCAGCCTTGTATTTTATAGAGAACACCCATTTGCATCCCACTATTTTTTTTCCTTCTGGTAATGGGACCAACTTCCAGGTATTATTTTTCTTTAAGGCTTCTAGTTCTTCTTGCATTGCTTGCGCCCACTTTGGATCAGATAACGCCTCCTCAGCACTACTGGGAATATGGCAGGAGGATAGTGTTTGAGTGAAATCCTTGAGCGGCTTGGACAGACCTTGAGTAGATACATAATTTGTAATTGGGTACTTGGACTTTCTTTCCTCTTCATTTGGGCTGTATCTGTTTGGTGGTTTCCCACGATTGTGTCTAAAAGGCGACACATAACCAGTAGAGGAATCCAAGATATTAGCATGTAAAGGTGCAATAAGAGTACTTACCTCAGGGACATTCTCAGGAGGAGGAGGGTCTTCGGGTACTGAGGAGTGAGGGGACCGAGGGTACTCTGTATTTCCTAGTCCTTCAGCTTCTTCATTTCCAGGTTCATCACGTCGCAACTCGACATAGTCAATTTCTGGTGGTACCTCATGTGGTTCAACCTCTCTATTTCCAGTCCCATACTCACCTACGGGGGCCATCAACCAATTCGTCTCTTCTACATAAGGCTTCCCCTGAAGGGAAGAAATGGATACCGGGGAAGGATAGAAATTCTCGGACTCAAGAAATGTAACGTCCATGGTGATATAGGTGCGGCAGGTAGTGGGATCATAGCACTGAAAGCCTTTTTGATGGAAACCATATCCCAAAAATAAGCACCGAACGACACAGGTGTCCAATTTGGTACGTTGATTTTTGTGGAGGTGGACAAAAGCAACACACCCGAAAATTCTAAGAGGAAGCATCAATATTGAAGGAAGGGATATATAAGTAGAGAGAATGTGTAAGGGGGTTTTAAAGTGTAAAATTTTAGATGGCATACGGTTGATTAAGTACACGGCAGTAACCACCGCAGCCCCCCAATGGTAACTCGACACCATTGCTCCAAGGAGAAGGACACAAGCTATTTCCAAAATATGCCGATTTTTCCTCTCAGTGACACCATTTTGTTGGGGTGTTTGAGAGCATGAGGTCTCATGGAGGAGGCCATGGTGTTGGAAATAGGCCTGAAGTTGGTGGTTGATGAATTCACCACCATTATCAGAACAAATTATTTGGATCTTGAAAGAGAATTGAGTCTGAACCATGACATGAAATGCTTGAAAAATCGTGAAAACTTCGTCTTTGGTTTTAAGCTGATAGAGCCATGTCATCCAAGTACAATCGTCAACAAAAATTACAAACCAACGATGACCAGAGGAAGTAGTGATCGAAGATGGTCCCCACACATCAGAGTGTATCAATGCAAATGGAGTATTCATTTTATTTAAGCTAACTGGATAAGAAACTCGGTGGCTTTTAGCCTTGATACATGTATCACATTTAAAGTCGACATGCTGCAGACGAGAAATAAAGATGGAAGTAGATGTCGGAGATAGCCAAAGGATGGGTGCCCCAAACGCCTATGCCATAGCCAAATCTGTCGTTCATGGCTACTGGTTGGATGGTGAGTGTGATTGGCTCTGCCTGGGCTGAATTCATCAAGGTAGTATAATCCCCCCTCTTAATACCACGCCCAATAATCTCCTTGCTGAGAACATCATGAAGAAGACAAAAAGTAGAGTATATCAGGACAACACAATTAAGCTCTTCAGTAACTTGACTCACAGACATTAACTTGTTGGAAGAGATGGAACAAGAAGTGTGTGAGCTAGAGAGAGAGAGGGAGACAGGGGCATGGTTCCAGCCCCTGTGACTGGGTAAGTTGCACCATTGGCATTGGCAATGCAAGTCCTCCGTGGCTGAGTTGTGTTGAAGAAGTCATTTGGATCAAATGTCATATGATCCGTCGCTCCGGAGCCGATAATCCAAGCATCATCATTCCGAGTAGTAAAGCTACAAAAAACTTGACCACAATTACCTGGATCTGGGGTTGAGATAGAAGGTGCAGCCATGCGAATAAGGGAAAATTGAGATTCAGTCGTGACCACCGATGCTCGACCTAGGACGTCCGCAGTGGCAGGAGCATCTCGTTTCTTTTGGGCTTGTAAATCGTGCCACCAATCTGGATAGCCATGTAATTTGAAACAAATTTCCCCAGTATGTTTTGTACTCCCATAGTGAGTGCACTTATTCCCATCAGAATGACCTTTGAAACGTGAAGAGGACCCAGACTTGAGCACTGTTTGTGACTGGCCAGATTTCACGCCTTTGATGGTCATAACAGCACCACTAGGCACTACGTCTGCTCCTGATATCATCACAGATTGGCAGAGATCTTCCCTTCGAATGTAAGCATATGCCTGCTCAATTGGAGGAAAAGGTTTTAGGTGAAGAACATCGCTCCGAACATGATCCAATTGATTATCTAGTCCGTCAAGAAAAGTGTAGACTCGCTCCTCCTATAAACTGGAGTTGTAGTTTTGTATGTCAATTGCACATTTCATTGGATTCGATCGACAAAAATTGATTTCTCGCCACAGGCACTGTAGATCATTATAGTATTTTTCTATAGATCCGCCTGCTTGTTTCATTCGAGATACACGACGTCTGAGCTCGTATACCTACGAGGTGTCAGTGCCATCGAAGTAGGTTGTGGCAGCAGAATCCCATACCTGCTTAGCCGTTGGGTATCGAATAAAGTTCACGACCAATGAATGGTCCATGGAGTTGATCAACCAGCCTTTCACCATGGCATTCTCAATGCACCATTTACGAAAGGGGAGATTGGTTTCTGGTGGTTGGGGTTCGTCTCCATTGATGTATCCCAGTTTGTCTTTTCCTAAGATGTACATCTCAACAACCTGGGGCCATAATCCGTAGTTGGAACCATCCAACTTTATGCTGATAGGAACCATCGGGGAATCAGTGATGGGAGAGGAAGAGGTCTGAACCTTTGACAAAGCCGCGCGTCATTTTTTATGTTAGATTATCAAGGATAGTTTCAGTGGATTCAGCCATGGAGGCCAAGAAAAATCTGGACCCCTGTCTGATCAAAAAACAGGGAACCCAAGATCTTCCTCTGATACCATATCAAACATAATTCTTTTCTTCTATATCAATTTGATGAAACAGAGTACAATATATAAAGATACCAAAAAACTATTTTAAGAAGCTAATCTTAGTCTATACAATATTTAACGGCTACAATCTGTTGGTATGATTTGTAAAGGAAAAGTGATAAGTTGGCATGGGGTGTAAAGCAAGAGTATGCTGGACTCACTCCAACATAGCAAGACTGATATGTTGGCACGAGGTATAAAGCAAGAGTGTGCTGGACTCACTCCAACAATAACTAGGTGTTGTTGTTATAATAACCCGACCCTTGTATGTGTTTCTGGCATAATTTAGTCCCTTGTTCTGTGCATTTAAATGTTTAATGTGAAATCTCTCGAGAAATTTAGTTTAAGCACATGGCTCTTATAAATTGAAACCTCTATCTGTTTGGTAAGGAAAGCATCTGTCACAATTATAATGATTGAATCAGAAATTGGAAGCCTTAGAGGCTTAATTACCTGAAATTGATTTTACATCTGAGATCAACATAATTTTTAAGTAATAATAAGCATTTTTTGTAGAAATTTGATTAGGGATGATTAAACTGATTAAATTTTGTCTTTATTCACTTTTAGTGTAACGACCCAAAATCCGTATTAAATATTACCTTTATGGCCTTATGGGTTAATGCATTTTAATTTAATGATATATGTTTAAATTGAGGAATTAACTATTGAGTCACGGCTTTAAAATTGAAAGTACCGACCTTTACTGGTTCAGAAATCACAATTGAGGACTTGGATGTGTTAATTGAAATTTTTAGAACTATTTGGGAAACTTAATTGAAAATCTAATTTGTCTGATTTGTTAATGTACGTTTGGGTGGTTAACCTGGTACTGCAAATTGAAGGCCTTAGAGTCTTCAGAAACCAGAACAGGGGGCATATTTATGATCATCTTAATTTTTAGAGTCATCTGGAAAGTTTAATTGAAATTTAATTTTGCGCGATTCGTAAGGCCACGTTTGGCTCTCCCTTGTGTTAAGCTTAAGTATGTGATATATACATATATGGAGAGGCCATGTGAGTTGGGGGTTTTATCATTTTGAAGTCAAATAAAATATCTAAGGGAGAGGGAGAGAGAGAACCGTGAAAGAGAGATAGAGAGGGAAAGAGGATCATCCATGGAAGCTTGGAAAATTGAAGAGATTAAAGGGAAAAAACAAGGAATTAAGTTAAGGTATGTGGCTTCAACTTATCTTTGTAAATAATGCATCTACTACATGAAATCAATAATGGATTTGGGGAAAATTAATATGCAAATGAACAAGTGTGTTGGGTTATGAATGAAATGAGTTAAACTCATGGAATTGAACCTTGATTTCTTTAAATTTGCTTGAATTGGGTTCAATCTTAAGAATAATTCATGGAATACAAGTTGTGGTGTAAAGATCAACCATGTGTAAGATGTATTTGTATGATTTTGGGGTATATATTATGAAAGCTTGATTATATAGAAGATGAGACTTGAATTTCTATTTTTGAGGCAACGATTGATTTGTTTAAAATGGAATTGCACTTGATTGATGTTAGTTTATCATGTTATGAGATAATTTTACATGTTTTTGAGTGATTTATGTTAAGAACCAAGTTTAAAAATGGAAAAACCAAGTGTTGGAGAAAAAAGAGCCATTTTCGGACAGCAAACTACCCAGAGCCGCATGTGCGGCTCTGTTTCCCGCACGTGCGGGAGACAGCTTTGTCCAGCCAACTTTGAATAAGCATATCTTTTTTCTCGGGACTCCGTTTTGAGTGATTCTTGAGCCTAAAATCAAGCCCCGGAAGTCTAGTTTCCAATGGCGATGGTCTCACTCCCAAATTCTAAATACCAAAATAGTTATGCCCAAATTAGTGACAACTGTTCACTTTTTGTCAACCAGTTTTGTACCATTTCTTCACCTAAACCATTTCCCATCAACTTCTCCTATTTTCTGAGACATGGATTATAACTTATTAAGGAATAATGATCTTGGCACCACCATGGATAATTGATCAAATGATCAAAGAGAATAAGTAAAGGATCGAGTATAATCTCATATTATGTGTTGTGCACTGTGTTGTAGGTCGAAACGAGGACACCGTCCCATTGCTACGGGGAGCCGATCACTGTGAGTAGCAGTACAGAAATGTATATTTTATTTACTATTGATAATTATTGTCACTAACACTCTGTTCTTCATAAGTGGTACACAAACATTTATGACGATTGGAAATCAGTGTGAACTTATATGAACATTGAAAGATTTGCGCACATCGGTATGACTTTGGAATCCTTTTGTTCTATCAATAACAAATATTAACCTTCTATTATTTATCAGCATACTACGTTACTTTTTAAAGAATAAATGAAACTTATGTTCATCCTTGAACAATGGTATCTGTATGAATCCAAGATTATTCTGTTGTGTTATGTATGGACCCGAGGTCGTTTAGAATCTACGACATGAATGCAAAGGTTTAACATCATTATGTAACCCACGTTAGAATGTAAATTGTTCTGTCTTTGTTAAGCGTATTGTAATGAGATGATACGGCAAGAAATGTTCTATTTTCTGATATGTTACGTTTTGAATTAATGAATGATTGTCTACATATATATAAGTATTCATGGCATCCTTAGCACAAGGCCCATACCCAGGGGTAAGAATACCGTGGTCTTATGGCCCTTTCCTGGGGGTAATAATACCGTGGTTCAAGTATATGAATTTGTTCTGTTTATCTGTGCCAGTTATGCTATGCTCTGACATGATATGGATGGTTTGGTCTTTAAGACCAAATGATTTTTGGTATGGAACAAAGTACTGTACGGAACTAAGTGCTGCAATGCGAGCCACCTCTAGAATCCATACGAGCCACCTCTTGAGTCCATACATATGTGAACTGGGCTTAAAGCCGATGTGAAAGTTATGAGGCCTATGGCCATTCTGTGAAAGTTATGAGACTTATAGCCGTTCTGTAACATCTGTGAGGCCTATGGCCAATTTGTGACATCTGGGCCTATGGCCATTCTGTATGATCTGTTAGTATGAAACAAAGTGCTACACGGAACTAAGTGCTGCCATGCGAGTCACCTCTAGAATCCGTACAAGCCACCTCTTCAGTTCATACATGCATGAAAAGGGCTTAATGCCGTCTGTTTAAGGGCTTAATGCCGTTCTGTTTAAAGGCTGAAAACCATAGGCCTAAGGCCATTCTAAAAATAATTACAGGATAAAGCTAACTATATGTCCTCCGCCCTTATACATGTACATTGTAATTCAAGTTAATTGTTAAATTGTTACGTACTACTATTCACTGAGTTTGGCTCACTTTATGTTATGTCTATTTCTGTAGGCACTCCACCTGGAGGTCAGTCTCAACCCAAGGCATCCGTTCCTCTTATGTCAACCTCAGGGTGTCCAGGCACTTAGATGAAGGCTACTCATTTTACGGAGTTTTGCTAAACTTTTGATTTTGTACCCTGATTGTCTTTCTAAAGAGGAAGTGTATATAATCCTTTTACCTTTCAATGCTTTTGTTATATGCCCAATTGTGAGGGATGGGTCTGTATATGTATGTGTATAAGCATATAGCTAAATTCTCAGATGCACGTCACTGTATGTTTATTTGCCTTATGTTCCGTTAGTGATCCTGGCATGGTAGTTATAGCTCAATGGAGATGGTTTTCTGTTATTTTAAAATATTAATGCTTCTGTTCAAGCCCCATATCTCATATATATATCAAGTTAAATATCCATTTCTGAAGTGGTCATGCCCAAACTTTTAGGGGCGGGTTTGGGGCGTGACAGTTGTAGTGCATGTCAGCCGTGAGGGAGGATATGGTAGGTCAGGAGACGAAATAATGCTTGGCAAAAGAGAATGTGGAGATGAAGCTTCGATGTTGGAGTTTGAAAGAGAGGCTTCTTGAGCGAGGAGCTCGATTGAAAAGAATTCAATGTTGGAGTAGGAAGGAGGAGATGAATTGGAGATGTCATCAGTAGGGGTGTGCGCGGTGCGGGTCGTTGCGGTTTGAGAGAAAAATAGAAACCGTATGGCGGTGGCGGATTGATAAAAGTGTCACTAGAATTTGTCATTTTCCTTATCAAAAACCGACAGTTCGGTTGGCAAATAATGGCGGATTTGCCTTGGCGGTTCGGACGGATTGGCGGTTTATAAAAAATATAATTCAAATTACAAAACTTAAATCAAAGAGTAAAAAAAAGACGAGAGATATCGTGATGTTAAGCATCTTGCGAAGCTTTCTTCTGATGCAGCAAGTGTAGCAACAACATGATAATATCAACGACTATGCCATCAGTTCATTACAAGCATCTGTGGAAGCTACAATGATCAAATACAATACATAAAATTAATATCATTCAGGGTTTACAATATATTGAAAATGTTTACTGTTGAAAAGTATTTAGATTGAAAAGTGAGCTGATGCAAGTTTGCAACATGGCCAGAAAAAAAAAAAAAGATTGAAAAGTGAATTGGAATCCAACTTTATTTTGGATTACTGACATCTTGAATTCCCCTCGAGCAGTAATGTAATATTATATTCTAAGGTATAGAACAACAAGCAAACTTAAGTAAAAAAGAATTTTTAGAATCTTATAAAACATGATTTAATAGCGGTGCAGGTCGGTGCGGTTTGGAAGAAAAATAGAAATCGGCGGATTGATAAAAGTGTCACTAGAATTTGTCATTTTTCTTACCAAAAACCGGCGGTTCGATTAGCAAATAATAACGAATTTGCCTTGGCGGTGCGGCTGGGTGCGGTTTTGGCGGTCTCGACGGTATTATGCACACCCCTAGTCATCAGCATATGTGGGTGATGAAGTGTGAGGAAGTACTAAAGGAGAATTTGCAGCGGAAGATGGAAAAGGAAAGATATTCTCATGAAAAGAAACATCTCGTGAAACAAAAATGTTACTAGTTGAGAGATCATAAACCCGGTATCCCTTTTGACCGTAGAGATAATCTAGGAAGAGACAACGTGTGGCTCTAGCACCAAACTTTGTGGAGCGATGGTGGTGGGTTGAGGTGAAACACAAGCACTCAAAAACTCGCAAATGGTCATATGTGGGCTGTTTGTGAAAAAGCAGCTCAAAAGGGGTTTTACCTTTAAAGAGAGGTGTGGGTGTCCAGTTGATGAGGTAGGTGGCAATTAAGATGGCATCTCCCCAAAATTTCTTAGAAAGATTAGCTTGAAATCATAAGGCTCGGGCACATCGAGGAGGTGGCGGTGTTTTCGCTCGGCTACTCCATTTTGTTATGGAATGGAGGCACAACTGGTTTGATAAATGATCCCTTTTTCCGAACAAAAATTGGTCATTATAAATTCAGAACCATTATCACTACGAAGAACTTTAACTTTCAAGGAAAATTGTGTGTCAACAAAATTAATGAATGTAGTGATGTATTTATGAGTGTCTGATTTACAATGCATCGAGTAAGTCCAGGTACATCAAGTATAATCATCGACGATTGTAAGAAAATATTGTGCCCCATTGAGTGCAGGAACATGGTACCCTCCCTATATATCAACATGAATCAATTCAAAAGGTCCATGAGTATGGATTGAACTTAATGGAAATTGAGAACGAGTCTGTTTAGCTAATGGGCAAATTAAACAATCAGAAACATCACAAAGCTTTATGTTTGGAACAGAATAAGAAAGCAAACGAAGACTCTTATTAGAAAGATGACCAAGACGTTGATGCCAAAGTTTCAGGGAGCAAGAGGCTGCTACGGTGACTGAGTTGCATCTGGTTTTCTACAGGGTATCAAGGTAGTAAAGTCCTCCTCGTTCAGTTCCTATCCCAATCATCTTCCCCGATTGTTGGTCCTGTAGCATACAAGCATCGTTAGTGAATGTGGCAAGGTAGCGGGAATTACAAACTAGCTTGCTAATAGAAATTAAGTTGAATTTGAAGGAAGGTACACATAGCACATCATGTAATGAAAAATTAGCAAAATGGATGCTGCCTGTGTGTGTGACAGCAATGAGTGCGCCATTGGAAAGATGCATAGTTCGATTGGTAACACAAGACTTTGTAGTTAAGAAATCGATAGAGCAAGCCATATGATCTGTGGCTCCTGTGTCAAGTAGCCAATACATTTCTTTGCCAAAAACAGAGGCACATGAGGTTGTACCTGAGAGATCACTCGTAGCGGATGCACTACCAACGTGATTATCTATGGAGTTGGACTTATTTCCATGAAGCATGGTCATGAGATTCTGGTATGTTCTGCCGTGAGAGTGAATGGGGTGGTAGGTGTTGTTGTATTAGCATTAACATGATTAGCTTTTGAGGGAAAGGCCCTGTGCTCTGGTTGATCAGATCTACCACTTGCAGGATACGTTTGTTTCAGCTTGCGACAAGCATCAATGGTGTGACCTTTCCAACCACAATGATCACACTTGTGCTCGACATGTCTCTGAAGTGTGCCCAAGCTTGTCACAAATTCCACATTTCAAGTGAGAATTTTTTGGTGTGAAAATTCTCGCAGAGGTTCGTGAGTTGTTCCTCACAGCAAAGGTTGCAGCTTCAGTTACCAACGCACTCCCTTTTAATATTCCTCTCTGTTTTTCATCTTGGAGAATGAGAGAGTGCGTTTCGTTGACAGTAGAAAGTGGATCCATGAGCAGAATTTGTCCTCGAACAGCAGCGTAGGCTTCATTAAGCCCCATAAGGAACTTCATGGTCTTTTGACTTTGTTGGAATTGCAAAACCTCCTTCACAGTGCTGCAAGCGCATGTTGGGATACAACACAGTGCGTCGCGTTCATCCCAGAGGCCCTTTAGCTTGGTGTAATAAGTGACAATGGTCATGTTGTCCTGTTTACAATCATGAATGACTTCTTCAACATGAAAAAGATGAACACTATTAGTGCATGAAAAGCGTTCTTTCAAATCAGACTAGATCTCATGAGCACTCTCATTGTATATTACACTTGCTTTAATGTCCTCCGAGATTGAATTGAAAAGCCATGCCTTTACAAGATTGTTGCAGCGCCTCTATTGTTAGAGTTCTGTGGTGGAAGTAATTGGTGGCTGTCGAATGGTGCCATTGGCGAAGCCTTCTTTATTCTTGATGTTGAGGGCCATGAGCATGGCACGGCTCCATGTGCTGTAATTTTCCTCAGTCAATAGCTGTGTGACGAGTATGAGCCCAGGTTGGTCAGAGTGATAAAGAAGAAATCGATCATTTTGATTGTCGTATTTGTTTGCCTCAGACTTGGCTAAGCCTTGGGTTATTTGGGTATCTTTTTCTGCCATGTGTGTTGGCTAAAAAATGGTTGTTGTGTTTGAGAAAGATACAAGGGTTCAGGAATGTGCTTGCTCTGATACCATGTGAAACGATAAACTTTCTCTGTGTATATTCATTGACAGAGAGGAAATATATATATATATATACAATACAGAACCTAATTTAGATCCTAAATTGAAGCATATATAGGGTTCGTTTCGAAAGTGGCTATTTTAGAGCATCTCCAACGGTAGTAGGCATTTTACTTATCTAAATATTACTATAAGTATATATTTTATTTTGCCTATCAACTGTTTTATGTTTTTACTCCAACCATGCTCTTTATTTTAGCTATTTATCCAAATACTATTAATTTTATAGAATGCCACGTCAACAACAAAGATAGAGGGAAATGATCCTAATGATTAAATACATTTTGCCTAGCGTTGAAGGCTAGCTACATGTAGCTAGTGAATATGAGTTGAGCCAAAATGCCTAATCATATGCCTAGTGCATTGGAATTGAAAAAAGTGAATTACACTAGGCATTTTAACTAACAAGTATTATATGCCTAGTGCATTGGAGATGCTCTTAAAGACTTTTTGACTATTTAACTATTTTAGTAGGCTATTTGACTACTGTCATTGTCTATTTACATTCCTATGAAAATAGAAAACAAATCAAACAAAAGAAGAATGAGGATTGGCTGTCCAAACTTGTAGGAGATCCCAAATTCAGTGCATTAATCGACCTTACATTCCTTAACAATATATATATATATATATATCCATCTTATAGATCCAGTTTAATAGTGTAAATCAAGAAAATGGACTTTATGGAATAAACTATACATACATGGGACTAAATAGGTTAAAAAATTCCTTCATGGACTTCTTGGATTAAAACACTTCTAAATTGGACTTATCAATAAAAATCCCATATATATATCCATCTTATAGATCCAGTTTTCATGATATTTATATTTTTTGAGCCTATTCAAGGAGATCTATATTCAATATAAAATTTTGAAGTGGAAAAAAAAATCATTGTAGAAAACTTACAACCAAAAAAAAAAAAAATCAGCTTTTATCATTTTCACAAAATTTCATAGTTTATATACAAAAATCATAAAATTTCACAATTTCTCAAACACGAATAATGATAAAGAAAGCTGAGAAATTTATAAGTATTCATAAAAATTTAATTTATGTATAAAATAAAAAATTTATTTTCTC